TCTGAACGATGAGTTCTTTACAATCAGTATTGCAGAAACACACTGGTCGGTCCTAGAGGTTTCTCTCAATAAAACTGAACAGGTATGCAAGAAAAGTAAACATTTCCCAATGTACTGTGTTAATATGAAGGAATTTTCAGGTGTTTTCAAAATACCTTTATTTTGAATTACGCACTCCATTGTGTTTTAGGTTTAGATTTAGATTTGTCTGGCTCAATGATAACATTAAGAAGTGGGGACTACAAATTTTCGTTTACTTGAATATATTTGCTATATATAAAAGTTTACTCAAGTTATTTCTATAAATTATTAAATGCATCTGTTATGTTATGAATTATATTATTCTGCACATCTGTGTCCCTGCAGCACAAAAGCAGTGTTAAGTCGCTGGGGGATATTTGTAGCAATAGCCAACAATACATTGTATGGGTCAAAATTATTGATTTTTCTTTTATGCCAAAAATCATTAGGATATTAAGTAAAGATCATGTTCCATGACGATATTTTGTAAATTTCCTACCGTAAATATATCAAAACTTAATTTTTGATTAGTAATATGCATTGCTAAGAACTTCATTTGAACAACTTTAAAGGCGATTTTCTCTATTTCGATGGCACCCTCAGATTCCAGATTTTCAAATAGCTGTATCTTTTTGGCCAAATATTGTCCGATCCTAACAAACCATATATCAATGGAAAGCTTATTTATTTAAAAAAATTTACCTTTATGACTGGTGTTGTGGTCCAGCACAATTGGCATTCTTGATTAAATTATGGAAGCTATAGTATGACTGTCAATCAGAACAGCAAAACAATTACGTTGCACCCTGATAATGTCATGTACAAGAACATTTGACCAATTCTCTCTTTAATGGTATCCAATCTGCATTAAGCTGATTTGTCTGATGTTAGTGACGCACCAAATGTTTGGAACAGCCGCTGTCTGTAGTGCGCCACATCTGTCAGTTTGACCTTTCCAATATGGCGTCGATTGTCAATAACTTGCTAATAGTCGTCAATGCAGAATCTATGTATGTATCTGTGGTCTTACCATCTGTTGTGTGACGTATTTCTCTCCTGCTCTCCACTAGCGTGCAAAACGGCACAAAGACGTCACGTGACCTGTCTCTCAGAGCGCCATTCTGGATCCGTGAACAGCTTCCTGTTCACCAGCAGCATTTCAAAGACTTCTTAAGAACTGCGAAACGCTCCCGTCTCAAAATGTGCTGTTATCTTATGTGTGCCAGTCACATCCAGAGCCTGTTACCACATACTGTGAGGAGACCCGTTGCTGTTTCGAAGCCAACAGCAAATACTGTCATCGAGTTGCATATCCCTCATGAAATTTAACCATGGTTTAATTATAGTAAAAGTGTAGTAGCTATGTCTTTTTTTTTGGTGTATTAATTACCATTTCAATAACCACAGTTTTACTTCACATACCATGGTTAAACTATGGTTACTACGCTGTTTCGAAGCCAACAGCAAATACTGTCATCGAGTTGCATATCCCTCATGAAATTTAACCATGGTTTAATTATAATAAAAGTGTAGTAGCTATGTCTTTTTTTTGGAGTATTAATTACCATTTCAATAACCACAGTTTTACTTCACATACCATGGTTAAACTATGGTTACTACAGCAAAACCATGGTTAATTTGTGGTTCCCTTTCAGTCGGTCACTCTCGACGTCACGTCGGAGGACCGACGAATTGGGATCTCGCTTAGAGGGACCAATCTACTTCGAGTGTAAACTAAACGAGCCAATGCAAATTGGCATGCGATTATTGCATCCAGCTGCTGCTGATCACAGCGTGAGTATAAGTAGGCAGCAGGTGCAGTGCATATTCAGCTTTTCGCTTCGGAGCCGAGCGATCACATCGTTCTGCTCCTGACTACTCTACTGAGAGAAAAGACTGAACGAGTTCAGCGCGCTCTTGGAGAGCTCTTCGTGTTGGTGGACGGCGCTTCAGCGGTGGTGGTTTCCCGTGTCGAGTGGGTTGCACACATCAGGCTGCACTACCCCCTGTTTGTGTTGCAGATGATCATCTCCCCTGTGCGCCTCAGCACGCTAAAAGAGCTTTTTCCCCTAAAAGAGCAATTCGGGTGCGTCTTTTTAAAGACGACCTTGCTTGGCAAACTTGACGTTACGTCTTTATAAAGACGATGTGGCATAAGTGATCTGTATCTATGTATCTCCTTGAACCATGGTTTAACCATTTAAACCATCAATAAAGGCAAAGTAACTCTGAGATATACACAGTATAATATAATGCATATATGTGTAGTTTGCCTGTATTGTTGATAAAAATGTAGAATTTGGAGGGCAGTCAATGTGTTGAATTGTCGATGCAATTTCTTATTTTAAGTTTGGGATGACCTGGCCATGGAAGGCTTTATTAACCCCGGAGCCATGTGGAGTACTTTTTTATGATGGATGGATGCACTTTTTTGGACTTCAGTGTTTTCATCTGAAAGAAGAGGCTTGAGGTAAATCATGGGGTAATTTCCATTTTTGGGTGAACTACCCCTTTAACATGGCTTATGCATTAAGACAGTGATATTACAAGATCAAACTCTGCAGAAGAGCCCAGAATATGAACGCAATGCGCAAAGTTTTACGTTAAGCGTTTACCTCCCACTGTCAAAGGTGTATAAATCATGTATTAGTCATGTAAAAATATATTATTAACATGTATTAATCTTTGTTAATGTTAGTAATAATACAATTGTTCATTGTTTGTAATATTTAGTTCACAGTGCATTAACTAATATATATATATATATATATATATATATATATATCTAAATAAATAATTTAAAAATGATTTATAAGCGTTTTGAAAAGTGGGGACATGGGTTAAGTTGTTAAACTCGATAGCTTATGGCATATCAGCCATAATGACACCAGAAAGGTTTTAGAAGAAAGAGACCAAAAGGCCACAATCACTAAAAGTATGATTTATACATTTAAAAGTGCAAATAATGCACATATTTGTACATAGGAATTAACATAAATGTGAGCTTTACATTGCGACCCTCCAGAATGTCTCTCCTCATAGATGTCCAAGTGTTTTAACACATGAGTGGTACTTTTATGTTTTACAAGAGATGAAGACGACTCCAGTCAAATCAGCCTCAAAAGCTACTGTATTTTACTGTACATAAAGCTGACTGCCCTATTATTGACCACTTTTGCTAGTTCACATTCAACTGCATGGCTGGCGGTGAATAGAACATAACCTTTGCATGATGCTGCATTCACGCTTTCTGCATTCAGAAAGTCTGAGACGACGGTCATATCAGCCAGCACAACATACACAAAGATGTTTGTCCACAGGCATGTCTTTATATCAGATGTGTTTGTAAAGCAGCGTTTCTGTAACCCAGTCAGCTTAATGTTTATCCGACACAGAAATTGCATTGATGGAGTACAGGAGCTCTTTTATGATTCCACGCAAAAACGGCTCAAGACTCCATTAAGCTAAAAGGCCCTTAATATCCAAAGGTGGGCTTTGAGTTCATGCTATTTTACGTGCGCTCTAAGAGAGAGGTTAATTCAGTGTGGCATTGAGTTTTCCATCACGTTTTACTCGCTGGCTTTGAACGCCATTGAAACACCAAATGCTGGTCTTTTTGTTGAGTCAACTGTTCTGGAAAGCCTTTCTCAATTATCTTTTCCTTCACAAGCCTAAAATGAGACTGTCAGGAGTAAATCTTCACGTGGACGCTTGGTTTCTGTGCTCTTGTTCAAGTGCATTTGTGCAGCTTAAAGGCGATCAGTCAACGCTGCTGTGTAAAGCCAGGTCACATGTCGAATGCTTTATTTACAGTAAGACATGATTCATTAATTTCACGAGCAAAAGGATCTAATAATAGGAGATAAAGTGAGAAAACTTCGGCTGCTCCATGAGCTCAATATATAAAATAAAATATATTTTATTAGGCTACTGAGTTTTACATTGATCTTTCTGATCAGTCAACGCTGCTGTGTAAAGCCAGGTCACTGATGTCGAATGCTTTATTTACAGTAAGACATGATTCATTAATTTCACGAGCAAAAGGATCTAATAATAGGAGATAAAGTGAGAAAACTTCGGCTGCTCCATGAGCTCAATATATAAAATAAAATATATTTTATTAGGCTACTGAGTTTTACATTGATCTTTCAAACGTATGATTCATTTCTTTCTGTAAAACTTTTGAAATGAGAGCACGATGACTGAGAGAAATGGGTTACAGAGGGAATAATAGTGATCATGTTATCTAATCACCACTCTTTATCTATTTACTAGTCATTTTCAGTAATATATAATCCTGTGGGATTCACATCCAACTCATATAAATCAATTCTGTGATGGTATCAGTGATGATACTGTGACACCTTGACATATGTTACCATTCAAATGTACTTTTACTCGGCGAGGACGCATTAAATTCATCGAAAGTGACAGTGAAGACATTTCTAATGTTACAAAAGATTTCCGTTTCAAATAAATTAGGTTCTTTTCTTTTTTATTCATGATGGTTTCTGCAAAAATATTGGGCGGCACGACTGTTTTCAACATTGATAATAATCAGAAATGTTTCTTGAGCAGCAAAGCAGCATATTATACTGATTTCTGAAGATCATGTGACACTGAAGACTGGAGTAATGATGCTGAAAATTCAGCTTTTATCACAGAAATAAATTACAGTTGAACATATATTCATAGAGAAAACAGTTATTTTAAGTTATAATAATATTTAAAATTTTTACTGTATTTTATGATTAAATAAATGCAGCCTTGGTGAGCAGAAGAGACTTTCAAAAATTAAAAATCAAGTGTTACTGAACATGAATAGTGCTTTTCGCACCATATTTTAGTACATAACCCAAAAAAACATGGCATTACATGGTTCCATCTCCATAAACGTAGTACTTTTTATATCTTCAAGTACACAACAACTGTTATGAATATAAACTATAGACAGGTTCCGTATATGAAATGAATACTCACTACTGGAATGTTTCGTTGAATTTTGGAGACCAGTTGTTATTCTTGGTTTTGGTGCTAAACTTGCGTTTCTTGTCAGCCAGGTGCGGGCCGATGGCGTTGACCTCCACGAAAGGCCGAAACATGGCGTTCGTCTGCCAGTTCATATTGTTCACACCCACAACTGCAGAGGAAGAGGATGCTCTCGAGTTAGATCAGCAAATACAAGAGAGTCATGTTTAATTATATGACTTCTAGATCGCATGCTATCACTACAGAGTCACATGATCAGGCACGAGGAAGATATTCAGACCTGCTTACACTGGGGGGGGGGGGGGGGGAAGACAAAAAATGGTATAGGTTTTACTTTGAAATTATTTGCACTTATAAATTGCTAGTAAATTTAAAAAAAAATTATTAGAAAGAAATAGCAAGTAAGACACTGAATTAAACGTGAAATGTAGAATCTTTGAAGCCCATTTCTGCCACAGAATAAAAAACATTTAAGAAGCAATAGCAACTTTTTTTCCTAAGTTTATATCTCACAATTCAGACTTTCTCACATTTCTGAATTTGTATGTTTATATCTCGCATTTTTAGCAAGTTATAAACTCTGAATTCTGACTTCTGAGTATATAACGCACAATTCTGAAAAAAGTCATAATTGTGATATAAAATCCGAATTGTCAGAAAAATGTTAGAATTGCGAGATATAAACTCCAAATTGTAAAAGAAAAAAATTCAGAATTGTGATATAAAAAGTCACAATTACCTTTTTTATTTCTTTGCAGCAACAAGCTTCCATAATAAAGACTGGAACAGTGTTTTCTTATAAAATTAACTCGAATGATGTTTTATTTACAACTTCAAAAAGTATTTTTTACAGTGTAGTAAACTAGATCACATGCTGTATTATAAAACATAATTACGGCTGATTGGATGAGGCAAATATGACCTTTTAATTTTCAATTAATGCACCAAGGTTCTCACCAGCAGTAAACGGCCTACAAATGTATTAACAACAATAAATCATGAAGGAAGTTAATTAAGGAATATTATAATGTTTGTTTTGTGGCTTTCCTCAAAGGCATAAATTCATAATAACATAATATCACTGATATTTATTTTTATTTTGAAAGTGCAGTTTAATTTTTATGTTTTTTTTTAATGATTTTTCATGCATTGGTCTGTTATGAAGCAGTGTTTGTGGTCATTAATTGGGTTTGTTGTGCAGGTGTCTCTCTGCAGTCCAGGTTTCGTGTCTCCTGTAGAGACGGAGCTCATTAACAGATCCTGAGCTCTTGATAAAGCGGCCAGATGAGAGCCATTACAGCGAGAGGAACTTTCATTCTGCTAATTACAGCAGCAGCAAACGCTTTATCAGTGAAATTACACTAACTGATTAAAAGAATACAGTGTCTGTGGCAAAGAGAAACATGCTAATTTGAGTAATTTAGACTTGAGAGTATCTAAATCATGAATTAAGCGATGTGTGTGTGTGGGTGTGTGTATGTGTGAGTGTGTCTGTGTGTGTGTGAGTGCGTGTGTGTGCGTGTGTGTGCGCGTCTGTGTGCGTGTGTGTGTGAGTGCGTGTTTGAGTGCGTGTGTGAGTGTGTGTGGGTGTGTGTGTGTGTGTGAGTGTGTGTGGGTGTGCATGTGTGTGTGTGTGTGTGTTACCTTTGACGCTGACTTTGTGCTCTCCAGTGCCGGGGTGTGAGATCAGGTCCACCTGGATGGCGACCTCCCCGATGGATGCAGACGTGGACTGACCTGGAATCAGTTTTGAGACACATGAACATCATACAGTATGTCAGATAAGAGCATGCATTACACACTGAACACACACTACACAAAATAAATACACAATAAATCCATAGATAGAGTGATTAATGAAATGTGCTTCAGCTTGACATATGAGACTGTTGTGATTAATTATGTTTTAGAACATTATAAATAAACCAACATATAAACACACACACAAATAATAAAAAATGATAATAATTTATAACCAAGATATATAAAATCTGTTCACACACAAACAAAATCTAGATAGATAGATAATCAGACACACACACACACACACACAAACAACACATGCTAATAATAATTTTAAAAAAAGTATAACCAGTATATATAAACACACACACACACACAATGTTACAAAAAGAAAGAAAACATACATATAAACAAAATAATAATAATTTATAACCTACTTTAAAAAAAATGTAAGAACTGCTACATAAATATAAATATGAACAAAATAGAACACACGCACACACACACACACACACACACACACACATACGCACGCACACACACACACACCTTGTATTTCTCACTTCTGTATATACTACTTCTTTCTGATACAACAATATAAACTAACTTATACTACACATAAGAGAAGCTCAAAATACAAAACTGGTGTTAAGTAGCATTTAGTTAGTCAATAAAGCTAATCAAGTTGCTTAACTTTATTAGAGAGAAAGTTGGAGAGCTGCAGATGCTTTAAGGCTGTTTTGAAAAGATATATATTAAAATGAGTCATTGCTATCTTTACGAAAAGTCAATATAATCTATCCTAAGAGAGATTAATTTCCCCTCGATTCATCTTTAATAGCTGTAGACTGTCAAACCCCAGAATTCACAATCCCATAGCTCTAGTCTAATGGATTTCGAGATGGTTGTTGGTTTAGACTATATTTTTGGAAAAATTAAACTCAGTCCTCTCTGGAGTAGGTCCAGACAGATCGCTCTGAACGGGAGAATAATGGAGGAGTGAATGCTGTGTTTTGTATCTTTGCATTTGGCCTTCAAGGTTTGCAGCAAACAGGGAAACTATCAAGGCCACATTTAGCCAAACTAACTGAAGATTTATTTTCCAGGCTGGAAATGCAAACAAACTTAAACAATAATGCTAATGAACACTAATCAAACTGTTGCAATTGCAATTAATGATAAATATTAAAATTATCAGTAAATCAACAGGTGGTAAATTAACTTTAGAACATTGTCTGCAAGGAAAATAATCACTAACTATTATAATAACAAATACAAAAAATATAATAATATTAATCAATCCTATTTAATTTATTTAAAAGTGTTATATTATCATATATATTATATAAATAGCCTAAATTTGCTTGATCATTTTACCAATGCACCAATAAATCGCTATATAATTGATATTGACTAGTAATCAACAATATTTATTAAAGTATAATAATAAAGAATAAACAGAGATGGTAAATTCAATTTAGAACATTATCTGCTAGGAAAAGCATTGCTAACTAGTAATAAGCATACATAGAAACACAAAATAATAATAATAATAATAATATTATTATACTCAATTATATTCAATATATTATACAATATGCAGTGTGCAATATGCATATATTGTTATACGTATTATAAAAATAACTTTTTATATAATATTGTTTATTTATTCTATTCTATGAATACATTTCCCACTTCTCACAGATACGTCATACAATAAGTACAAAAAAGCACAGAAATATATGAAATAAGCAATTTTAGATTAAAAAAAAGTTTACAATAATGCTACAAATGATAAAGTCTGAAAAATGTTGTAATCCCCAAAATTGTATTGCATAAACTTATGCATAATTTTGACATTAAGTTTTTTTTAAAGGGTTCATATCATGAAGAATCAAACTTGCATTGATCTTCTTAGACTTTCAGGACTCAAGGAGAAAACCAAAGTAATAGTAATAAAAAAAAATGCATGACCACTAAAATCAAAAACAATCTCTCCTCTCCTCTGTAGACGATCAGACGGAAAAACTCCAGACCAGAATCATTCAGTGACAGGCTCTCATCCATCTCTCAGACCCACAGGACACATTTTCACAGACAAAGAAAATAAAGCTGTCTCTGGAGGGAATTTAAAGTGAGTCCAGAAAGAACGAGCTGCAGGAGATGTTCCCTTGATTACTTCCAGAACTTGTCTGAAGGAGTCAGAGGTCACAGCAAACTATGGAAGTGCTTATTAAATTGTGTTGATATTCCTGCATAGACAGACTTAGACTTCTGATGAACACATCATTTAAATCGAGGTAAAATAAGCTGCTTTATATTTCTCAGTGGGTTTGCACATCATTATCACTTCATATCATCATCTGATTGAAATGCAGGGCAACATATCTAGGAAGATGCACACAAATGTATTTGCAATTGTAGATTGTGGGTAAGGTAGAGGCGTAGAGGCACACACACACACACACACACACACACACACAAAGATTTTGTTCATCTTTTTTATGTCTCTTTTGCTCACCAAGGCTGCATTTATTTACAATTCAAAATAACTTTTCTAAATTAATATCTGTTAAAATTTAATTTATTTCTGTTCCAAAACCCGACACATGATCTTCAGAAATCATTCTAATATGCTGATTTGCTGCTCAAGAAACATTTCTGATTATTAGTATCAATGTTGAAAACAGTTGTGCTACCAAGTATTTTTTTAATTTATTGTATTTTTGATCAAATAAATGCTTAAGAGACTTCTTTCAAAAACATTAAAGCTCATAATTATTCCAAATTTTTTGACTGCCAGTGGATAAACACATATATAATGCTGTTAGATTAAGTTTTAGCCCCGTTTAAAGACACTTTTCCTGACAGTGCATTAAAAAATGAGTGTGACGTGTCTGCTGTGTTTTCTGATTATTATCAATGTTGAAAACAGTTGTGCTACCAAGTATTTTTTAATTTATTGTATTTTTGATCAAATAAATGCTTAAGAGACTTCTTTCAAAAACATTAAAGCTCATAATTATTCCAAATTTTTTGACTGCCAGTGGATAAACACATATATAATGCTGTTAGATTAAGTTTTAGCCCCGTTTAAAGACACTTTTCCTGACAGTGCATTAAAAAATGAGTGTGACGTGTCTGCTGTGTAAAATCCCTAGAGATTCTCCATCTGAACCAAAAGAGGCCAGATATCCCAGAAATCCATCACCTGCTCTGACAGAAAACCCCAGAACTGCAGTGATGAATAACTCTAAACATGAAGTTTGATGAATTATAAACACACATCCTCAACTCAACACACAAAACTGTGCATCACACATTAGAAATCATATTCTGTCTGCAGCCTTTGACCTTAGGAGAGAGAGAGAGAGTACTGCACAATATATACTGTATGCTATTAAAAACAAGGGTTTGAAATAGTGTTTTAGTTCAAATAGTAGCATGGTTGTCACATGACCTCATTTAGTTGCATGTTTAAGTCAAGTTGAACAAGTGAAGTACATTTACTATCTTCAAAATAAATAGTTTGCCAAACTTACTGTCTGTTGGCAGAACAATAAAATAATGAGTTAAGAAGAAATATCGCTTCTGGTTCACTGGTCATGATGGAAAGTCAATTCAAGCAAACTGCATTGTGGGATACGATGGCTCTGTTCTAAAACCTGCTGTTTAGTGTCTTAGCAACTGCCTTCACAGTGTTGTTGTTAACTAAAAATTATTAAACATTTCTTTATTTGAAATCAAAATGAAATAAACTAGTAATATTAATATAATAGATATATTGCCTTAGCAACTAACTGAAAAAAGATTAAGTAATAAAATGACTAAAAGTAAAACTGAAATAATACAATAATAAATTACAATAGAAAATAAATTATAGTTAAATTAAAAAAAAGAAAAACAGATAAAAATGAATGAATCAACTACATAATTACTAAAACTTAAATAATATAAAGATAAATAGAAATATTACAAATAATTGAAAGATGATTTTCACAAAAAAAAATAAAATAATAAAAAATAACAAAAGCACAAAACAAAATGACTAAAATTAAAATAAAAATAAGATTATTTTCAAGGCAAAACCTGAGTTACAAAATAAGTGTTTCATACATAAAATACAGCAGTTTTATCATATTTTATTGAGAGTATTAGATTATAGTTGTTCCAAACCTGTATGAGTTTCTTGCTTCTGTTGAATATAAGATAAGATATTTTAAAGAATGTTGGTGAAAGTTCTTCAAAATATCTTCTGTTTAACAGTAGAAGAGTAGAAGAAGGGTGAGTAAATGATCTCTTTAAGTGAGCTTATTGAACAAAATATTGTCTTACTTTATTAAAAGCAGCACAGTCCCATAAAATATGTTTAATATTTTTGTGCAGAACACACCTAAAGTTGGATCATTCAGAATTGTACATTTATTTCTCTTACTTTTTTGTGCACTGTGTTTGTCAGAATGCATTCTGGGATTGGCATTTTTATTGGAAAAGCTTTTTTTAAATTTTTTTTAATCTATCTATCTATCTATCTATCTATCTATCTATCTATCTATCTATCTATTCTTCTATATATATGCCTGTATAATTTGTTCACTGTTTATTGCTTTGGCAACATTGTGCTACTCCACAGACATGCCAGACTAGCCATGGCTAGTTTGGGAGGTGCGGGTTTTGAAGAGTTAACTCGCGACATGGAGTTAAAGTGCCTGTTGGTGTTGAGAGCTCAGTGGAGGAAGTTAGTACAGCGATTGGAAAAGTTATTGGATATAATAGCATATGGTCTGCATCAAGGATGAACAGCGCTGTTCATGTCATGTTTGTTGAAAAAGGAATAACATTGAATGATACGCTCTAAAAAATGCTGGCTTGTTTCAACCCAACATTGGGTCAAATATGGACTAACTCAGCTGTTGGGTTAAATTTTTTTATTACATTTTTAACCCAAAAGTTGGGTTAGTCCATATTTGACTCAAAGTTGGGTTGAAACAACCCAGCATTTTTTAGAGTGTAGCATTGTGATAGTGTTTCCTCTCGTTAATCCAGAGAAGTAAGTATTGTTGTCAAATGCACCTCCTTTCATTGAGGATGAAATTATAGAAAGGGAACTTTCAAGACATGGTCAGATTGTTTCAGCCTTAAAAAAGATCCCTCTATAAATCTGTAAATCGCTATTGCTGAAACATGTTTCGTTCAGGAGACAAGTATACGTGGTACTGAAGAGTGGTGTAGAGGATTTGAATATTGCTCTGAAGTTCAGGATCGACGGGTTTGATCATGTGACTTTTGCATCGACTGAAAACTTGAAGTGTTTTGGATGTGGCAAAGAAGGACATTTAATGCATTCATGTCCAGAAAAAGAAACTCAAAATAATGGTACTGTGGAAAGGGCCGAGGAAGAAAATAACACAGAACAAGTGATTGTGAGTGGTAACAACAGAAAAGAGCCTGAGAAACGAACAAGTGTGACCCTGGAGCACAAAAGCAGTCATAAGTAGCACAGGTATATTTGTAGAAATAGCCAACAATACATCGTATGGGTCAAAATTATTGAATTTTTTAATGCCAAAAATCATTAGGATATTAAGTAAAGATCATGTTCCATGAAGATATTTTGTAAGTTTCCTACCGTAAATATATCAAAACGTAATTTTTGATTAGTAATATGCATTGCTAAAAACTTCATTTGGACAACTTTAAAGGCGATTTTCTCAATATTTAGATTTTTTTGCACCCTCAGATTCCAGATTTTCAAATAGTTGTATCTCAGCTAAATATTGTCCTATCCTAACAAACCATACATTAATGGAAAGCGTATTTATTGAGCTTTCATATGATGTATAAATCTCAATTTCATAAAATTGGCCCTTATGGCTAGTTTTGTGGTCCAGGGTCACAAATATGGTCAAGAAACTGGGGCTTGTGGAGAATCTTACAGTGTTGATGACATATCAGGTTCGGACAGTGAGAGAGAATCTTCTGATTCATTTACTAATGTGAATATGAAGAAAGATTTTAGTGGCTGTAGTTTGGAGAAAGTGAGAAGCTTTCTACAGTCTACCAAGGGGAAGCGGGATGTTGAAGTCACTGATTACTTCCCTGATCAGACCTTGTTTATTGAATCAGCCAGATGAGACAAAGAGGGGAAAACTGTCTATCCAATCCAGATGTGTATCGGCTGAAAAAAATATGTAGAGGACAATTTTCCAGCAATGATGATTTCTCCGGATTTACCAGATACGGAACTGTCCTTTAACAGTATCAAACCATTTGAAGGACAGAAATATTAAGTTTACTTGTGGAAAATATTTGTATGAAGTGTGTGTAAAAGTGTTGAACAAAAAACATCGTTGGTACATCGTTCTGATACTCCATGGCAAAGTAATTTATGTGTTGCTTCTAACTTTAAACCAATGTGGGGTACGTTATACAAGCCACCATTGAGAAAATCTATTGGAGATTTGCAGTGAAGGGTCTTGCTTGGCATTGTTGCAGTTAATGCCTTCATTTCTATTTTGAATCCCCAAGTAATAGACAGTTGTACTTTTTTGTACTATTGTTCATTGTTTCATTCATTGTCAAAGGTTACAGTCTCTGTTTGAAGTGTTGACAATGATTTTTGTTGACTTTAATGAATGTTCAGTATACCTGTATTTATTTATGGTTTTAAGAAGTCTAAAGTAAAGAAAAGAATGGGGCGTTTGTTGAATTTTATTAGAGGTCAAGCAAAGATGTCTATTTAAGTAGAAAACAGAAAATTGATTTTGGAAATAATTGTAATATAGTTACGTTTTTTTAAAGGACTTGTAAAAACAAGAATTAAACATGATTTTTCTTTTTATTCTTGTATGAAAAATCTACTGAACTTTGAAATGATTTGCACAAATGGAGAAGAACTCTGTAAAGTTGATAATAATGCTTTAATATTTGGTGATATTATAAAATGAAATAATATGTGAAAGATTTAGAATATAATATTTAGAAAATAAGAATAAAAAAATCTCTCTCTCTGTATTTCTCTCTCTCTCATGACAGCGAGAATGCTCTTACCTTGAGAGGTTTGGGTGCATATATATTTCTTGATCAAGGCATCTGTGGGTTGAGTGTAAAGGCTGAGGGCGTATTTCAAGGACTTGAGATCGGGGCTCTTCTCCAGGAAGGTTTTCTTCAGACCGTTTCCACCCGCATGGAAATATTGCTGAACGGAGAAACAAGCGCACTGGTTACTGAGAGACTCAAACATGCTGCGTGTATCCGGAAATCACTCATCCTTCACTCAGAAAACACATGAAAAACATCTATTCACTGTGACAGAGTAAATGAGTCATATACAGAATCAGGGTTACTTACCTCCGTGAAGTTGGCCCCCCACCCAACGCAAAACGTCGGCAAAATAGTCTCAATCGTTTGTGCTCCGTTTGTGCTGGTTTGTGCAGGTAAAAGTTTCGTTTGTGCTGCTTCGGTTTTTAAAATATTAGACATTGAATTAGAGGCGATGACGTCACCAGCCCCCCCACATGCTCCAAATTCACCCAAAATAATCTTCTTTGTTTGTGCTGGTTTGTGCCGTAAAAAAATAGTTTGTGCTGCTTTGGTTTTTTAGATATTAAAATATTATTTAGTGATAATTCTGAGGTCACTCAGCCCCCCACATGCTCCAAATTTACCCCAATAGTCTCGTTTGTTTGTGCTGGTTTGTGCTGGTATTTTTGTTTGTTACTTCTACTAAGCAGCACATTTTCATGTCTTTATATATCGGATGAAATATTAAAGTCAAATTACAAAGATGGAAATCAAGTGTTTCTTCACTGATCTTTAAATGTCTAAAACATTGTAAATACTTTTTAATGTGGGTCGAATAAAATAAAATATTGGCTTGGCCTACACTGAGAAAATTGGTATAGGATTTACTTCAAGACAATTTTCACTCAGAAATTGCTAGTAAATTTCACAAATAATTACAAAGAAGTAACATTGAATTAAACCAGAAATAATGAAGTAGAATGACTGAAATGCTGTCTTGTAAAATGCAAAAATTTTATTTTATTGTTATATTTTATTTTTATATTACATTGTATTATTAGCATTATTTTATATTATTTTATATTATATTAATTTTTTTAATATTATTACATTTCTAGTAATTCCAACAATCTCATCAAAAATCTGAAATCTGTTATGATATGATAATAAAATAATAATATAAAAATTCTATAATAATAAAATAAAACATTTTAAATGACAAAGTTTCACTGAGTTTGACCTGTGCATAATTTTGATTGTTTGATAAATGCTTTATATATATATATATATATATATATATATATATATATATACAAATTAAAGCACACACTAATTATTATATTATAGAGTTCAGAATGGTTTGCAGAGCAGAAATGACAGTAGTAACTATTTCATAGAAGCACAAGACTGTTAATATCATGCATTGACTGCACATTGTGACTAACATTGCCTTTGAGACATTCTGATTTAAAGTTTATTTACATTTCTGCTAAGCAATACTAAGATTGAATAATAGCAGAAAGTACATTGAAAGATAAAATTGCAAGAAAAAACATAAAATACAAAAATACCCCAAAAATATAAAAACATTTTCAAAACATTTTCTCACACTATTGCACTGCCTTACTGTTGAAATACTGCCATTCAGCATACATACACACAGACATTTCATCCGGTCTCAGTGGACGCTGCAGTAACATTCACAGCTTCATACGGTTAACCGAGTTAATCCTGAGTTAAAGGGATAGTTCACCCAGAAATGAAAATGTGATGTTTATCTGCTTACCCCCAGGGCATCCAAGATGTAGGTGACTTTGTTTCTTCAGTAAAACACAAACTGAGATTTTTAAGTCAAACCGTTGCAGTCTGTCAGTCCTATTATGTAGGTGAATGGGAATCACGGCTTTGAGAGTCACAAAACATACACAAACAAAACCAAAGTAAACCCTGCGGCTCGTGATGATACATTGATGTGTAAAGACACGAAACGATCGGTTTGCGCAAGAAGCTGAACAGTATTAATATAGTTTTTTACCTCTGATTTTCAAATGGACCATTGGTCTCAAATGGGTCTCAAATTGGACCATTGGTCTCAAATGGACCATTGACACTCCTAATTGAGATTGTAGAGAAGAGTGTCAATGGTCCATTTGAGAGATAGGTGGCGGTAATGCACTTATAAGTCTGCGATCCGCCGTAAAGCAAGAAGAAGAAGACGACGACTCACGTGCCGGCTGAAGAAGAAGGCGCGAAGACGCTCGGGACCGTTCGGACATTGAGGTGAAAATCAGAGGTAAAAAACAATATTAATACTGTTCAGTTTCTTGCACAGACCGATCATTTCGTGTTTTTACACATCAATGTGTCATCACGAGCCGCAGGGTTTAATTTGGTTTTGTTTGTGTATGTTTTATGACTCTCAAAGCCGTGATTCCTATCCACTGACATTATAGGACTGACAGACTGCAACGGTTTGTGTTAAAAATCTCAGTTTGTGTTCTACTGAAGAAACAGTCACCTACATCTTGGATGCCCTGGGGGTAAGCAGATAAACATCACATTTTCATTTCTGGGTGAACTATCCCTTTAACAGCGAGACGTGAGACAGATAACTCGTCTGTCAGCTGAACACAATCAGATGGGGGTTAAACAGAAGCCCGGAGCTGCAGAGATCACCGTCCACCGCTGGACACGAGTGTGAGAGACGACTGGCATTTGATCAGATCTACTTTATTATTCGATTAGTGTAAAGGCCGATTAGAGCATGAGCGGTGAGGACGAGCACTGACGTTTGCATGTCTGCCGTGATTGAGACAGATGAGATTTCCACCAAGGAATCAATCGCTCCGGCGCTCAGGAAAGGCCAGGTGTCGTTTTCAATGCTTGCATTGAGTTTTCCCCTTACTTTAACCTTTAAAATCAAATCAAATATTTTTAATCATATATAATTAAAATTGTATTTTAATTGTATACATTTTAATTGCATCTTTCATATATAAAATGCAGCTCAAAGTGCTTCACAGGTCAGAAAAAAAAAATATAGAAACGAAGTTACTCATCTAAATATTTATTCCTTGCATTGTTTAGCCTTTCTGTTTTCCATATCTAATGTTTGCATTTAGTTTCTTTGACTTTGACCTTATTAAAATAAATAAATTACTAATACATTTTATTTGTGAAGCATCATTCATATCTATCTTTAAAACTAAAAACAAAATTACATTTAATTTGAATAGGATCATTTATATGTATCTATTAAACTCAATATAAATAAATAATACATTTTGTGTAGAATCATTCATATCTATAAAAAAAATTAAATAAATTACATTTAATTTGAATAGGATTATTTATAACATCTATTAAACTCAATAAAAATAAATAAATAATAAATTTTATTTGTGAAGCATCATTAATATCTATCTATAAAACAACAACAACAAAAAAGAAAAAAAAGAGTTACATTTAATTTGAATAGGATCATTTATATCTATCTGTTAAACTCAAGAAAAATAAATATAAAATTCAAGAAAAATTTTAATCAATCAATATATAAATAAACAATACGTTTGATCTGTGTAGCATCATCATATCTATAAAACTCAATAAAAATGAATGATAAATGCTAAATGTTATTTTATATCTATCTATCTATCTATCTATCTATCTATCTATCTATCTATCTATCTATCTATCTATCTTTCTATCTATCTATCTATCTATCTACTGTATCTATCTATCTATCTATATCTATCTATCTATCTATCTATCTATCTACTGTATCTATCTATCTATCTATTAGCATAATCATATCTATAAAACTCAATAAAAATGCATGATAAATGCTAAATTTTATTTGTATAGCATCATTCATTTCTATCTATCTATCTATCTATCTATCTATCTATCTATCTACATGGTTAAAAAGTAAAAATTGCCAATTTGTAAAAAAAATACTCAAGATACATCATATGTGAGTTTCCCCTTTAAAAAATATAAATAAATATATAAAAATAAAACAATAAATGATATCTATCTAAAAATAAATTGCCAATGTTTTAAGAAAAACTCATTCAAGATACATCATATGTGAGTTTCCCCTTTAAAAAATATAAATAAATATATAAAAATAAAACAATAAATGATATCTATCTAAAAATAAATTGCCAATGTTTTAAGAAAAACTCATTCAAGATACATCATATTCTATATTATATATAAGTCTTACAATATTATTGATTTATTTTAATAATGGTTAGATATTTTAATAGAAAATATTAAAAGAAAACTATATTTCGAAGTGCATTGATTGATTCATGTTTAAAAAGACAAAACAAAGACATCAGACAGGGATTGTTCTCCTCTCCCTCTTTTTATCTGTCTGTGTCTCTTTTCTTCCCCCTCACACATTAATTATTATTCTCATTAATCTCAGCAGATATCTTCTCTGTTGTTGCTTTGCTCCTCGAGCACAGAATCCTGAGCTCATCTCTGCGTGCAGCCGTTTCCATCGGCAACATTTCACTCAAGGCTTTTGTGAACTTCCCTAATTAGCTTCAGTCCTCAGAATACCAATGAGCCAAATTCCCACTCCATGACCGATCCCAACAGGGAGGAACGACGGAATCAGTAATATCTCTGATGCTGCATGCATTTTTACACCACAGCTACAGCTACACACCCTTAATGTAAAGTAAAGGGAATCCAGGTCAGATCTAATCTGGTTCCTAGGTGGAAAAATTCATGTCATCACTTAAACCTGATGCATTTCTGGAAAAAAGGAGTATGTTTAAGTTGCATGAAGCTGCTCATAAATGCTGGAGTTTCTGCATGCACAGCATCGCCCTCCGGAGGCCTGGAGAGGAACTCAAAGCATTGAGGACTGAATACGATAATGCAATTTTGAGTCTCTTTTTATGTGTGGAATATGTAGCAGTGAACAGTCTGTGTGCATACCTAAAAAACATAAATAAGCCTATTTTAATTTAATTTTTAAAAACCAGTCTTAATTTTCCAAACTAAGCTACATTTTTATGCACCTGAATTTAAAAGCAGGTGTTTGATTGTAGCACCAGTCTATGCAGCAGTTCATGCGACTGTGCCCTGAATCAGAGCAGAAGAAGAGCGAGAAGCCCATACCTTGATGGTGGGAAGCACTAAATCCATGGCGGCACATTGTCGAGGGCTCAGACTGCGAGCTTCCTCCCGGATCACATGCTCCTGAACACAGAGAAAGACAGAGTCAATTACTGTCTTTACATCCACATTTAAATGCACTTCAAATCTTGTGACGTGACATGTGACATGTGACGTGACATGTGGCCAAGTATGGTGACCCATACTCGGAATTAGTGCTCTGCATTTACCCATCCAAAGTGCACACACACAGCAGTGAACACACACAAACCGTGAACACACACCCAGAGCAGTGGGCAGCCATTTATGCTGCGGCGCCCGGGGAGCAGTTGGGGGTTCGGTGCCTTGCTCAAGGGCACCTCAGTCGTGGTATTGAAGGTGGGAGAGAGCACTGTACATTCACTCCCCCCACCTACAATTCCTGCCGGTACGAGACTCGAACCCACAAACTTTGGGTTATGAGTCCGACTCTCTAACCATTAGGCCACGACTTCCCCACATTCCCACATTCATTTCCAACACCGGTCTAACTATATATACCACCTCATGTAAAAGAATTGGAATGAAATGCCATGCATAAAATGACTTGTTCAGATATGTTTGCTGTTTTTATTTGATTTGATTTGAGCTAATTATAATATGCATGCCCTCCATATTATATTTTATTTTAGCTATAATAATATTCATATAAATAAAATATATAAGACCTCCAGTAAAATGTTTTAGTAATAAAATCAAATATTTTCTTTTATGAAGGGTGTATATATTTGACTTCATAGCTAAAATGATCAAATCAAATAAAACGAAACAAAATTAAAAATATATTTTTCTCCATTTCCAAAGCTGGTCAAGCTAAACTACTTTATGTTAAACTGTTTTGATAAAATGCAATGCATAGAATAATTCTGAGAGTTTAGATTTGCTTGTCAAGTTTGCTGTTTTTTTTATTTTATTTCAGCTGTAAAGAAAAATATACATGCCCTCCATTATTTATGTATACATTTATTTTAGCTATAAAATTAAAAGCCAATAGCAAATATATTATAATGTATTATTTAATTTTTATTTTGTTCTAGTTATAAAAAATATTTTATTTTATGAAGGGCTTATATATTTCAATTCATTGCTAAATAAAAATAAATAAATAAAAAAGGGCTGTGAGCACTCAGTTTTGTTTAACATGTTTCCTAGTTTGTTTCTCTCTTTTTTCTAAAATGACTTTTCCAAGTTCCCTCCATCTTCTCTGGTTAGTTTATTTGAACACCGGAACCCTGTCCATAACATTAGGTGGGATATTCCGGTAAAACCCACACAAAATCTCAGGATTTATAAGGATGGCCAGTGTGCGTTAGTCTTTTAATGTGAGCTTTGCATGCATACAACATTCAGAGGTCAGCAGGGTTTTCTAGCAGCAATTTCATTTAATCCTACAGGTCAATGGCGGTGCAAAGTTTAATACAAATAAGCCTGAGAGTGATAAGAGAGCGGCGTGCGAGTCAGTGTTACAAGAGCAAGAGCTGATTCTGTCCACTGACTTCTCCCAGCTTCAGAGACGCGCTCACACCTTTAGTGTATTGATCAGCTGTTCAGGTCAGAACACATTCAGACTCGCTGCACTCCAGAACAAACACAAACACACCGAATGCACATTTCAGAACTCAGCGTGTGTTAAATCTTACTGCACTTTCATAAAACCTCACTGGATGCACAGTGCAATAACCCCCCCACCTCAGCAGCTACATAAGGTGCAGCAATCAGTAGAACTTATATTTTTGAATTTTCAATACAAATGTTTAAACATTCTTGAAGCAAATACATTTACTTCAGAAGCAACATTGTTTTGAAAAGATGATCAAAATGAAGTGTGTTTTTACTTGAAACAAGAATACATATTTGCCAGTGGGGTCAGAAAAATTATCGTTTTCTTTTTAAATTATTGTTCTCACCCCACTCTCAGATTTTATTTTTCTTGCTCTAGTCTTAAATTCACTTAATTTTATACTTAATATCTTAACTAATTTTGCTTCTCAAGTAAATGAAACTTGATTTATGAATGTTTAGATATTTTTTTAAAGAAATTAATACGTTTATTCATCAAGGATGCGTTAAATCGATCAAACGTGACAGTAAAGAGATTCATATTCTTACAAATAATTTCTATTTCAAATAAATTCTGTTCTTTCCAAACTTTCTATTCATCTGTAAATCCTGAAAATAAAATGCATCACAGTTTCCACAAAAATATTGGGCAGCACAACTGTTTTCAACATTGATAATAATCAGAAATGTTTCTTGAGCAGCAAATCAGCATATTAGAATGATTTCTGAAGATCATGTGACACTGAAGACTGCAGTAATGATGCTGAAAATACAGCTTTGATCACAGGAATACATTACAGTTTAACAGATATTCACACTGAAAAGAGTTATTTTACAAAACAATAATATTTCACTATTTATTCTTTATTTTTGATCAAATAAATGCAGTCTTGCTGAGCAGAAGAGACTTCTTTTACCATTAAAAAACGCTTCCATTGAATTTATTTATTTTTTTAGTGAGTTTTAAGGCAGCTGCATATAATACAAAAAGCCATAGACAGTACCGCAGTTTCACTGGGTTTAGAAACAGAGCGGTTGAATTCTACACACAAGAACAGGAACCATAAAAACGCATTTGGAGCTAGAGCTGCAATTGAGCAGAGATGTTTCAGTGCATATGAAATGAGACAGAGAGAGGGACAAATGAGATGGAGCGTCTCCGCGGCTGGACTGTGACGAGAAGTCCTCCATCTGTCTGACACCTGCTCAGATCCTCCTCTGGACTTAAACTCCTCAGCGGGGCACATATAATTACACCAGCAGAAGCAGGGAAGTTTTCCAGAGAGACCGTAATGATGCAAACGGGCAGCGTTTGACAGACAGCTGTAAAGCCTTAGCATAAGCCAGAAAGTGTTTTTGCAGCTAAACGGGAGCTACATGAAAGCGCTGCTGTAATTTGTGAGGATAGTGGATATCTAGTGCTGCTCCGAGTCCTCTGAGCTCCACGAGGAGCGATGCCTTCCAAATCTGACAAAATCCTGCCGCTTTAAGCTGAACATGCCTTGCTAACGTCTGCAATCTGATGCACATATTTGTATTCACAGGCTTGATTATTAAACCAATTACCTCCTATTTTGGGCTCATGTTCAAACACATGAAAGCCATTGCTTAAAGTTCATGCAAAAAACAAAAACACACACACACACACACACACACACACACACACCACACAGACAAACACAGACACACACACACATGCACGCACACGCACACACGCACGCACAGACACACACGCACGCACGCACACACGTACACACACTCACACACAACACAACCACACACACAGACACACACACACACACAATCACACACAACACAATCACACACACACAATCACAGACACACACACACACACACACACACATGCACGCACACACACACACACACACACACACACACACACACACATTTACATTTATTCATGTAGAAGATGCTTTTATCCAAAGCGACTTACAATGTTATGAAAATGTTATTTCTCAATGTTCTCTGATCATTTTGATCTGAATGTTTTACAAACGTCTTTTCTTGGTTATGTGAACGTTAAGTGAACATTCCGTTTTATCATTTTGCAAACATTATGGAAACGTTACCTTTGAATGTTCTCTGAACAAAGTAACAGTACCATTTAAAAAAAAATAAATGGTAGCAAAACATCCAATTAAAATGTTTCAGAACAAAAAAACGTGTCATGAACAATGTATAAATGACATTTTTGAGAATGTTACTAAAGGCCAGATAACTCGGAATGAATGTTCTACTAACATTATCAAAGCAACAGTTTGTGCAAAAATTTTAATTTACACACCCACATACTTGTATACTGCCAAAAAACAGTTAATAAAATGTTCTTAGAATGTTTTGCTAATGTTCCCATTAAGTTATGAAAACATTATTTCTGGATGTTTTCTGAACGTTAAAGAAACATTTCTCTTTTATCATTTTGCAAACATATTGGAAACATTACTTTTGAATATTCTCTGAACATAGTAACATAAAAAAAATCAATGGTAGATGAACGTCCAATTGAAACGTTTCAGAAAAAAGCTCCCTGAACGATGTATCAATCATGTTTTTGTGCAAATGTTTTGAGAATGTTTTTGCTTTTTGCAAAAGCTCATTTTGTATAATATAAAAAAAACAGCTAATAAAAATGTTTACTTGTTGCTAACGTTCCTGTTAAGTTATGAAAACATTATTTCTGGAGGTTCTCTGAACGTGTTCATCTGAAACGTCTTTTCTTGGTTATGTGAACATTAATGGGACAATTCATTGTATAATTTTGCAAATTTTACAGTAGTAACATTTTTTTTTTTTTAATGGCTTACAAATATTTACATTTTGATTAAATGCAGATAAAACGTTTCTGGGAAAAAAGTTCCATAAACGATGTTTAAATAAATGTTTGTGCTTATGTTTTAAGGATGTTATTAAAGACCAGATAACTTTGAATAGATGTTTTATAAATGTTACCGGAATGTTTGTTCATAACTTTCAGAGAACCTTGTCCAATCATTCTGAGCATGTTCCCTGTTAGCTGGGACGATTTTGAACAACCTTTTTTGGAGTTATAACAACACAATTTTTATTTTATGGGTCAACTATCCCTTTAATATGAAAGTTATAATGTTTTCTTTAGTATAGATTGGAAAACCAAGTCCTCACCTTGAGTTTGGAGAGCTGGCCGAGGTCCTTGGCAGCGCTGAAAATCATCTGAGCCCCTTGCTGTTAAACAAAAGCACAAAACATTTTGTTTGTTCATGTCACTTACTGGAATATTATTTTCCAAAAACAATGATGGCCATTGTGATAACATTTAAAATAAAATAAAATAAAATAAAATATATAGGGCTTTGATTAAATACTCTATTTTTATACTGTATTTTATTTTAGCTATGAAATTAAATATATAAGCTTTGCACCATTTTATTTTAACTATAAAGTAAAATATACAAGGCCTACCTTAAATATTTTTATTTTATAGCTATGAAAGTGTGTGTGTGTGTGAGTGTGAGTGTGTGTGAGTGTGAGTGTGAGTTTGAGTGTGTGTGTGTGTGTGTGTGTGTGTGTGTGTGTGTGTGTGTGTGTGTGTGTGGCTGACAGACGTGTTACACTCACTGTCTGGTCTGAGAGAGGTGGAAGAACTATCTGTTGTTCGATGGTGTTGAGCACTATCTTCCACAGCTCCTTAAGGACCCGTTTGAGAACCGTCTTCTCACAGATCTTGGCAAACAGAATTAGGCTGGAGAGAAAAAAGAGGGATGGAGTGAAAGAAAGAAATGCAACTGGTGCTTCAACAGATGTAGCAGTGGGTTTCCTCACTTCTTGTCCAGCAGGTCCATGAGGGGTCTCAGGACGGTCTCTGCATCCATGGCTGCGTTACTCTTGTTCCCTGCGCTTCCCTTCATCTGCATCAGCTCCTGGTTCATTTGTTTGACACAGTCCTCAATGACCGGCTTGAAACTGCACAGACATGATAAACCTAAAAACTACATCCATACTAGCATTCATTTAAGAAAGAAGAACACATTTTCATCATTCAAGCTCACCTGTATGTCTATATAACCATCAAATAAAATATATAAGTACTCTATAAAATATGTTTATTTAATAAAATAACAAAAAAAAACTATGATTTTTATCATTCAAGCTCATCTGTATGTCTATGTTTTCTAATCATAGAAGGCAACATGAATTTAATGCAAAATGGATCTATATACTTCCTCCATAAATGTTGCAGGTGTATTTTATTTTAGCTATACAGTAAAATATATAAGACCTTCGTTGAACTATAAATAAAAGATAATTTATTATTATAATTATTTTCTATTTTATTTCATAAATTCTAATCAATACAAATATTTAATTGTATTAAATACATAAATATAAAACAGTGATTTTTATCATTTTAACTATAAAATTAAATATATGTCCTTTATAAAAATAGTTTTATTTTATTTTAATGTATTTATTTTCAATCACTTGTTTATTT